GTCATCCAACTGCCAATCCTTTCTCTTACACAGTATGAGATGCTGGTGGACCGAAATGCTCATTCTCGACGACGTGCAGTAGAACTGGTACCAAAAACCTTTTACGGACAACTTGAACGCATCTTGGCAGTACGCCTTCGACATCAACCGGAGGCTCCACAGTCATCTCCGCAGACAATCCTTCTTGCTGCAATCCGCACCTGCAGAGTCAACAAACGCCATAAGGAACTTGATATCCATTACTACGAAGATCTTGGCCCATTGGAAATCGTTGATCTCAACTCAATCCAATGTTTAGTAGGAAGAATATGCGACCGTAAACAATGGGCTATCATCGACCGAAGCGGAGCTCTGTCGCGGGCAGTTTTTGTAGATACTGGGATTGACTCCGAGGAAGTGTGATCAGGTATGTTCCTTTCGACGATTCATTGTTTCCTATGTACATATGTCTCATCACTGTCAGATTGTGCATTTAGTCATGAGTTGCTGCGAGAATCTCTCGATCTTTCCTTGAGCTGTTGTCTGTACCCACTACAAGAATATACCTCATTTTTCGATTCTTTCAAGCATTCACCACTGTATATATACAATTTGCAGTTCACTTTCAAGGAATAGGCCAGCCTTGGGTCAGTATTTGCTTGATTCTCGAGTTGAGGTGATACCCATACGATTGTTGTGATTTTCGCGACACTCAGTGGTATTTTCATGTCGTATTTGGCTTTACATCCCCAGTAGCTCTTTCCACTTCTTACGGTAGTGAATACTTGGTTGTTAAAATCACGCCGGAATCACAACCACTACTTTCACCACTACCCTATGTAGTGGGGATGTTATTTACATTACCATTGGTAGTGAACTTCACGACGAGCGGGGTTTACAGTGCTGAACAATGCCATACCCCGGTTTAGCTGATTCGATAGAGGGTCTGTATCTATAAGGTCACGGTAGAGATATTATACAAGATCATACTTGTGCCGTATCATGCCACTTCATGAGGTACGTTCTAACGGGTCATCATCTCCCGTGTACGGGAAGGTCAGGAAGTATGACTCGGAAGTGTTAAGATATGTTGCAAATCCGCCTTGGTGGTTGAAAACAGCGACAGAATGACAACACATGCTTCTATAAGTGTAGACTCAAAAAACATACAGTTGATGACACCGCTATACTTCTCCAAACTTTCCAAGTTCCTTGTTATGATTCTGCAACTGTGGTTGGGAACTAACGATGTTGATAACTCCAGTGCTCTGCGACTGACTGTCTCCTGTCGTTATTTATACATCAAGCAAACATTATAGACTCTACACAAAAAACGTCGTACCTTGCACATCAATATGTGTTGTCAATTCTTCCTCTCCTTGACCTGGAGCAAATATGACGGGCCCTTCTGTTTGTGCAGTGGTAGTCTCAGACGAAGAGCCTTGGTTACCTGCGGCTAGGCGACGAAGGTTGACGAGAACATGAGATCCCTGTCAATGAAAGTTTAGGGACCGTGAAGTGCAACCGTGACTGAAAGACGAAACTTACCGTGCAGGACATGATGGATAGCAAATATCTAACATAGTTTCCGTGTCGGAGTCAGCAGCCACGATCTAGTGGAATGCATGTTGAAGCGGGAGTACTCACTTGTAGAATAGAGGAGCTTGCTTCGCTCTTACCTCGAAGAAAACGAGGTTCATTAATAGGATGACTGCGATCAACATGACGGTTAGCGGACGATTCAGAACTCTCATATCCTTACCAAATATATCTGCAAATGCCCAAGTTCCATCTCTTATGAACACGTATAACAAGGTATGTCTTCCGAGAGATCCTTTCACGCTCTGAAAATATTTCACAAGCGTGAGGAGGAACAGAATTGTTTGGATAATCAACGAGACAATCCTATTTCAGCAAAAAATGAGTGTCGGAAGAACACAAGGGAGGAGGGAAAGATCAATGCCAGTGACATACTCACCAAACGACGTTGAAACTCGGAGGAGCATACACAACCACACATCCTATCTCAACATTAAACTTTTCTTTCGGTGACGAAACGATTATAGTAGTGATCGTTGCAATTATTTCCGCCAAGAATAGGAATACGATGAAGATTGATATAAATCTACTTCTTTCATAAAATGCATAGACTGTGTTGTGTGAAAGTAAGATTCAGTTTCATGATCAGGTGGAGAAGGGAGGGAGAGGAGAGGAACTTACTTCGAACAACAAATATTAATTCTACGGCAACGACTAAAGCTTCCGAAATAACTGATTCGTAGATAATGAACGCAGCGCAGGAACTTTGTGTGAATCCCAAGTGGTTGTTTTCATTGAGAGCTTGGACAAGGAGAGACCTGATAGTCATCATACACCAAACATAATAATTAGGGTTCAATAATGATACTAGCAATTTTCGAAAGTCTGAACATGGACGGGGACGCACCCTATTGATAATAACCCAAAATGTCTGATAAAAATGTAGACGAATTTGACCCACGAATTAGGACTTCTGCAGTACGGAAAAGATAGGATAGGGTGTATCAGTAGTGTACGACATGGTCTGCAGTATGCGGACATTTGTAACTTTTAAGTAAATGATCTTACTTCCAAATGTATTCGATCTGCCGAATCAGATGAAATTGAGTTCGATGTCCCACATGGACACACACAGTATAACAAACAAAATTCCATGTGGAACGTACCTCATCGGAGAGATGGATAATTGTATCCCATAAAAGAAATGCGAATGCAGACACTAGTAGTATATGGTAAAATCGGGAGTTTAGTGTTGAGTAAGATTGACACGAAAAGTTCAAAATAAGTCGACATTAGTATTGCACATTGACGATGATCATCTATCCATACGACAGCTAACTCACCTCCGAATCTAGCAGACATCTGAAAGGATTGAGCAACCAAGATGGTCCCCGATGAGTCCACCTCATCAACTCTAGTCAGCGATACCATCTGCATGTCTAAAATTTAAATCTAAACGTCAATGATGATTGAATAGGAAAAGAGAACCATGAACCGTGGATATCAGGTCATTCCACAAGGCAAAATCCAAGGATGGCATATGTCTAGTATGTTTTATACTGAGGATTTAAGTTCCAACACAGACTGATGAAATCACGGCCGTGAAATAAAACATACCTGACAGTCCTCAAATTCGCTAGTATCAGGCACCACAACATTTCTTGAGGTTCGTGTGTCGAACTGAAGCTTCTTGAATGGCATGTCGTTGGCCAGTAGTATCCTGAAGGCGGTTGCTGCAACCAGTAAACGCTCTCGACCGGTGGAATTACTAGTAGTGACGATTTCAAAGTACTAAAGCTTCCTTTCAATCATTCAACAGGGATATTGGAATCTGTCAAGTCCAGTAAAGGACCAAGCCAACAATCCGCAATCTCCTACTTCTATCGTGGAGGCTTTCCCAAGCTTTCATATTCATTGAATGTTCGCAGTTCGCAACCTGTGATGAATGTCAGTTGGCGCTATCTGTAGCCTATGATATGGCTTACGATATCCTCCGAAATCAATAGGAATTTACTGACCAGTGCATACCAATGATCATCTGGGGCGTACAATTTGGAGATACGCCGTTATAACCGGAAAGGGTCTGGTGACGATCATGTAGCGTCTTAAACCCGCTTGAATAATGCGACTCTTGTGGATGTTACTTACCTAGTTACTGACCTCCGACGTTTCAGCTTATTCACATCGGTCGGATTCAGACTTGGGAGACCGGAAATTAAGGAATTTTTCGATTCTATTGTGTCCGTACTTGCTTCTCACGAAACAGATGACTGGGAAATAATAGTGGCTTGACTTTTAAACGCACAAGGTGTGACCTCGGAGTTTGTTTGGATCCCCATTGTCGGCCTGTTGAAGACCGGAAAATCATGCCCGTTACTGAAAGGTTATGGGAAAGAAAATCAAGTGTATGGCTCACTAATACATGGCACTCAACAGGTACTAAGACCGTCACAAAGTCAATGATTGATGCATCTATTCCGATCCAAATACTGTCGAATTAGGTTCTGTAGAAAATGGGTCTGTTGGAGCATCGGTAGGTCTTCATATGCCCGTACATCATCTATGAATGCCCATAAATTTATGGCTAGCTTCAAATGGAATGATTGACTGAGAGTTGCATTGCAAAATATAATCTTGGAAAAAATGCGAGCTGCTGGAATTTGAGTATGTCATTCAGAGAGGTAGTAAATGAAAATATAATTTCATTGTGATCTCAACAAGATGTTCACGCACGGTTGCGAAATTCGACTGTATATAGACAGTTGCAAATCGTAGACCGTATGCTATAGATCTAGTCAAAATCTAGAAGTAGCAGATATGTTATGTGGCACTCACATACATTACGAGTCGATGACGACTGTAGCTGAAAAGCAATGCCGGTTTCTCTTCAATGCCTTCATTGTCAAACCCTTTGGTCAATGATTGTGTGGCTACCGGGGTAAATGGCGCTCACAGTTCGCTGCCGCTTAAATTTACATTTAGTCGCCTTTGAATGAATGGAGGAGGAGGAGGAGGAATTGCCTTTGGTCCTTCGCCAGCCCTTTACCGTCCTCAGATATCACTCTGTGCGAGTACATGAGTCAAAATGCAATTAGTAGTATGCCCTGGCTTACCGAGACAGAGAACTTTCGATGCTCTGAGCTCGTCTAGTGCAATTTTAATGGATATCTTGAGAGATTTTTCCAAAGGGCTATCACTACATGGTCATAGGTGTTGAACTTGAAAGACGGAGTCACCGATGTAGTGTAACGCATCGGAAGGTTCCGAATAAAATCCCACGAGCAAGTAGGTTAGGCGCTTTCTCCTCCTCGACACCTCCTACTCTAAATGATTAAACACCACGATTGAAAAGGATTAAGATTTGACCAGTTTGTAGCAAGTATATGCATGCCGCCGCGTCTTTCTTTAAAGCACATAGAATGATGAGTATTCCTATGAATTTCACGCAGTGGCAAAAGATCAATCTGTGCTTTATCTCTGCATACACCAAACGGGAGTCGAACCCGTGCCGCTTGCTTTGAAATCCGGAAAAGGTGGAAGGCAAGCATGATAACCGCTTCACCATTGGTGTTATTTCAAGGATAGAACATGGACCCTTGCCTTTGATTATCTAGAGGAATCACAGGTTTCTGAGGGATTGTGATCACATAAGCATTAGTCAGACTCAGTTCACCGCTTACTGCTTGGCATGCATCTTGAACTTATGTTTGATAATGTTATATATCATCAAAGTATCTGTCACCTTTCTATTACTTCATTACAAACACTGGTGGAATGTTAATGCTTCCTACAACTGAGGAAGCTTGAACTTATTCGCGCATGCCACGAACTAAGTTGAGAATTACTATATCTGGAAGAACGCGAAATGCCGCTCGGCTTGTAGATCTCAGATCTCGGACATCTTTTTCGGTGAGCATGGTCTCTTTTACAACCTAACTCCACCCTTTCCTATTTATCGTCCTTGTCCATGGCCAGAAAACATTCTGTTAAACCAAAAGGTTCAAAATCTGGCCCTAAAGCGTTCAACAAAAACGATGGAAAGCTGAAACGTTGGGAAAGGCTGGAAGATATTCCTTTAGATGAAGAGGATAGATGTACGTTGGTTTCCGTTGTTCACTTCGTATGACTTTGCTCAGACGCGTCATCTGTAGTTCATGCTAACAAAGACAGGATCCTTCTCAATGGAAATGAAGATGACCTTGACGACGAGGGGGATGAAGACGAGGTTTTCGCTTTGAAAGGTATGCCAGAGGACTCGGATGAGGAAGAGGGGAGCGGAGACGAAGTGGACGACGATGAGGATATGGAAGCCGATGAAATTCCGGAGGCTCCCAAGCAAGCGAAGAAGAAATCGAAATCAAAGAAAGGCAAAACTTCACCTCCATCTTCGGAAACTTCAGACTCAGAATCAGAGGAGGAGGGATGGGGAAATAAGAAGGCTGCGTATTATGCTTCTAACGACGCACAAATTGATTCGGAGGATGAGGAGGCGAATGAGCTGGAAGAACAAGAGGCCAAAAGGTTACAAAGTAAAGCGAGGGATACTTTGGCGGACGATGATTTTGGTTTGGGAGATGCTATCGAAGAGGCTGATGAACCCGAAGAGTATGTCTCCAGCTCATCATGTTCCTGTTCCTAACACCAATTTTTTCACAGTGATATTGCCGAAGTACCTGTTTCAGTCACTCCATCACTTCCTCAGGACAGACCCTCGTTACTTCGACATTTGGAGAAGACAAGTCCGGAAGCTCTTGCCCTTGCCCGAGACTGGGAAGATGTTGCTCTAACTCTCGTCAAGACAAAGGCTAAAATTGAGGAGTATGCGGAGTTATCTTACTTGTTGAGAAATATGCTGACTTTTAATGTCCGTCTCTAGAATGGAATCGTTATCACCGGATGCTCTCAGTCTTGGAATGACCCACCTTCATTATCGTGAGTGCACATCTGCTAGTCTCTTACGGTCTCTCAAGGACTTCTTCATTTTAGAAACTCTCCTAACGTACGCAACTACTCTTGCGTTTTATCTCCACCTCCGAGCATCTGAGAAGTACGCCACTCATCCGGAACTTCTCAAGTCGCATCCCATTATGGGACGTCTCCTTACGCTGAAGCAATCTCTCTCTACGCTCGAGGAGATCTCGGCGGAGGACTCGTCAGATGATGATGAGGATGAAGATGACGAGGATGTGGATGCTTATAACCTCTGGGCTATGGACCAATTGAAAGGCTTGGAAGCAGACGAACTTCAAGGTCTCTTGGAGGATGCAAGCGACCTCATCAACCCTTCTAAAGGGATCTCAGAAGAGAAAGAAAATTCCAACAAGTCGAATAAAAAGAAGAAGGCACCTAGTCAAGAAGATGAACGACCGAAAAAGAAACGTAAAACCTCTTCGGAAACGAAACCATCAGTTGCCATTCCTATATTTGACCTCGTTGAACCTGAATTCCCATCCAAAAAGTCCTCGAAAGTCGCCAACAAATCATCCTCATCGTCTCGTTCCAATACAGATGATGTAGACGCTTTCGGTGAATACAATTCCCTTCAGAACGCTGATGCTGAGGATAAGGCAGCCAGGAAACGTTCGTTGCGTTTCCATACCGCCAAAATCGAAAGTGCGACTGCTAGAAGAGAAAGAGCACGTGCCGGCGCAGGAGGTGATGATGACATACCTTGGAAAGATCGAAAGAGGGATAAAGATGCCAGAACAAAGAAGGAATTGGCCAAAACAAGAGGACAAGGCGGAGCAGATCTTGATGATGAAGAACCTCAACCAAGAGACACAAAGAGAGACGGATTGGATATTGAGATGGATGGGAGCGATAACGACGATGCCGAAGGCTACTACGATTTGGTTAAACGAAAATCAAAAGAGAAGAAAGAGAAGAAGAAGGCAGAGTATGATGAGATTCAAGCTGCAACACGGTATGCCAAAATTTGTTTAACCTTTATTTACGTGGGATCTGATAATTTCCGTTTGCCTTTGAAATAGTTTACAACATGTGGAAGAGGACGTAGATGGTCCCCGATCATTGACTCGTGCCATCTTGAAGAACAGAGGTCTCACACCACATAGGTCTAAGAGCGTGCGCAATCCCCGTGTCAAGAAACGCCAGAGGTATGAGAAGGCGAAGAAGAAAATTTCGTCTCAGAAGGCCGTTTATAAGGGTGGTGTTGGGGCTGGCAAGTATGAAGGAGAGAAGTCTGGTATATCCAAAGTCATCAAGAGCGTTAGCTTGTAATCACCTTCCACCTTCTACTATCCATTGCTTGTTATTTCCTTCGCAATACCATGAAGATCGTAGTTCAACAGGATATAATTCCTTAAGGAGAGTTGGGAAACTAGTACGATTCTACATCAACTGTCTACATAAATAAACCAAGCCGATTAGTGAATAAGTATTGTACAACCTGACTTTGGGACATAATGGAAATCCAAGAATATCCGACCAACGAGAAACCGTAATTCAAACAACACACGAAGACGATGGCGGCAAGGGTTTCAGATCCAACATAGATACAGTACGCGGTACAGCCGTCGACCTGAAAACGTCCCGTGCGCGAAAAGAAAATGTTAACAAGAACAAGAGCAGCATTGGCAGTCACAGTCACAACAAGGAAAGCTTCTCGAAAACGGAGATAACCGAACCTTGATCAGACCTGGTATTGTGTGGTGTACATAGATGGATGGTTCATAACACCATTCATAACGGCATTTCCAGCAACCTCCATGGAAGTGAGAGTTTGTTCATAAATTCCTGTACCGGGAGGTGGGGCCACCGAGGCCATATGATTCAACTCTATTTCACCTGCACATGCCTGTGCGTATATTCGTTTGATCTCGGCGGCCTGTTCTGCGCATTCCTCATAAGCGTAAGAGTATTGTTCCAATCCGTCGATGCAATTTTGGACTTCTGGCCGAGCGATTCTTGCTAAGAGTGTACCAGCTTGTATACAACTGACGTGCATAACTGCGGAATCCAGTTTCTTGACACAATCGTGGGATTTAGACGCATGTAAAGGTAAGCGTTTTAGGAAAGAAACTCACCAAGTACCCGTTTGATGTCAGTACACCGGCCTAGGTTATTTTGAGTTAACAATGAACGGGACGGAGTATTCATTTTGTGAAAGTTCAAAAAGGAGCTCGGAGGTAATAACTTACCAGTCCAGCAATGCGCAGCGCCCCATGCATTGCTTCCTCAGCAATCTTTCTCTTCAGGTTCTCTATCTGAAGGTGATTGGGTAAAGCATTTCCGGGACTACCAGTCCGTACGATATCGTTAACTTCCCGTACACCGAAATCGTCCAGCGCGTTGAACAAGATAATCCACATTATGTGATAAGTGGCATCACTTGCACAAGCGGTGACCGCACTGACGAAATCCCAGTCCGCATGGAAGTTACTTGGAACACCAACCCGAGGTAAATGTTCTTCTCGCCATTCCTGCAAATATTTGTAGAAAGTCAGAATAACTTCCAATTGAATACCATCTGACTCGGTTGCGGGGCGCCATAATTGTCTAGACATATGTCTTGCGATACGAGCAAGGGCATGAGCTGCTCGATAGTATCCCTGGAAGGAATGCTCTGAGGTTAGAGTGTAATACAAATAGATATCCCGTGATGGTACTCACCAAGAACTGTAAATGGAATCATGCGAAAGGAAGGAGTTCTTAGTGGTCTCCATGAGAAGAACACCAGTCATGCGCACCTCTAGCTGTTCTCTGGGAGAAGGTTGGGGCGAATGGGGTTCCACAATGTCAGGCGCCACGGGTCCGACAGTATAGAAGTCAATATCATAGTCATCATCATCGCTGTTAGGAGTTCAGTCTAGTTCAGTACAGGATTAAGAGAGAAGACGATGAGGCACTCACAGCATTGGTTTTCGTCTGTAATAAACGCTGCGATACGCATCTGCTAAACAGGCCATCCACCATGCAAAAATCATAGTACCACGGGCCTCTGGGTCTTCGATATTTGACATGACCGATTTATGATTAATCTAGAAAATATGTTAGGGCGTCGGTATGATGCATGGTGTCCGAACAGCGGACCTGCAAGTCAAGGAGCAAACGAATAGCTGAAGTAAGCCAGAAGCCATGATATCCTGTCGAGAAGAAGTATTAGCGGACAGATACGCTGTTTAAGAAGGAAAAGAGCTAACCATTCGGGTCGTCCGGATTTTCTGGTGTGATATTAGTAGATAAATCAAGGCCTTTATTACAAATGGTTAGCGTTACTTACGATTTTGCATAGGCTCAATCAAAAGCGCAATGACGACGTGGTCTGCGCTGGGAATACGATGCACTTTGAGATCTTCCGCCAGTTCCCTTGCGCGATTAATGATAGTTTTTGCGAATAAGCTTTGTCCGTTGTTACATCGCCGGTCACCGGCGAGTACTGGGTGTTCAGAGAACTTTGCGCCCCAAGCAATGACAGTGGCAACCAATCTGATAGAAGTACATGAGGGGCATTGTTCTATACGAGATGGGTGGGAACTCACGCGTTATGCAACGGTTTAGATTCTATGGGAGAGCCGTTCCTGTTACTACCATTCTGGTAACCAACCGTCG